CCAGCACTAGGCTAGGGCCTCGGGCTAGCAAGCATTTGGGTACAAATTAAACAAAATATCTGATCTTAGGAGGAAAACAGAATTTTCTTTCAAATTGATGCTTGCAGTGGATCCTTGACCGTTGGCATACCCACAGTTTTGACTTTTTGGTGGCAACTGGTGTTTGCGGCTGCCCGGGACAGGTCTATATAACTAATAAATGTGCTGGTGTAAAAGGCGGCATCTCCTCCAGGCTGCTGGTGGCAGGTTTGCATTGTGCAATGGGGGGGTCCCCCAGCCATGAGCGTGCCGGAGCGTGCAGTGAGCGCGCTGTCGCTTCTGTGGCTCTGAGCTGGGATGTCTCATTCTCGTACCTGACGCTGTTTTGCAGTATTGCTGGAAGCCTGGTGTATTCCTACATCACGTTCACGGAGGAGCAAATGAGCAAGCAGTCTGAGGCTGGCATCAAGATGGATATTAAAGGAAAAAGCTCTGTGTGACCAGGGAAAGGCTTTTTTTGGAAGCAACCTATTTCTGTTCAGCTGATCACGGGTAGAATGCAGGAGGGAATCCGGGGCATCTGCCATGGAGTAACGGTGATGCTCTTAATTCGCACAATCTAGATTGCTGCCTTTACAAATTATTGGGAAGATAACTGACTGCACGATGAAGGATACATCTAATTAAGTCTGATCGTGAAGAGTTAATGGGTTTCTAATCACACAGATTTGGCAGTAGAGATTGGCACCAGCACCGTACACGTTTGAATCGCGAAGGACTGTGTCGGCTCTGAGGGCCGTACCCTGAGCATCCTTGGCTGCATCTCGTCTCGGTGCAGCTACCACCCAGCGCAGCCGGGGATGGATGCTGGGGCTGGCTCTGCTCTGTGCCTCCCCCAGCCTGGACCCTCCGGCTGGGCAGCATGTGCTGCTGCTGCTGCAGGAAGGTGAGACCATGGTACCCGGCACGGATCTGGCCCCAAAGGGCAGGTGAACCCCTTCTGTCCCTAGGGGAGAGGAGCAGAGGGAGGGGAGCTGCGGCATTGCAGCCCACGTGAGGCGAGCACTGGTATGCTCTGCAGGATGCTCCTGGTTTGGGCCAAAACCCCTTTGTTGAATGCTCAGTGCTCTCTGAACTTACATTTGTTTGTTGTTTTTTGGTTCTGTTAACCCGCTTTTAAAGCTAGGTTTACCCCCCTTGGTTTCTAAGAGCCCTGCAAACATTCACGCCCTCTCTTTCTCGCCCGAGGTCGCTTTTACGAGGCTCGGGGACGTTCCCAACATGAAGGTTTTACCTGCCACCAGAGAGGTCGGCAGGGCTGGCAGCCTCCTTCAAACCACCCCAGGGTCAGAAACCTTTGGATTTGGGGAAGCTCCTGGCTGTGCCGGCGCTGGCCCTGGTGCAGGGACCCTCGCAGGGCACTTTGGATCCAATGGGGAGTAGCTGCAGGGTTCGCAGGAGAGATGGCGATGTCCCACCTGGCACACAGAGCCTCTTCCTTCAGTCCAGAAAATTCACTGCAAAGCGAAGGCTGCTGCTCCTGCCCCTGCAATCCCCTTCCCGCCCATCAGCACCGTGCACACACCTGTAAGAGGCACAGGGACTTGAATCGTGTTGTTTTGGCAAGTCAGTGGGAGACTCTGGGGGCTGGTGGGGTGGGTGGCTCGGCCCGTGCTGCTGGTCGTCCCTGCGGCACCGAGCGCATACTGTGCGTGCCCACACTGCAGCACCAGCACTTCAGCTTTGGCCAAGCGCTGTCCCGCAGTTTGTTGTTTGATGCAGTAAGTCGTCTTCGGTTTGTGACCCATTAAAAGAATGGGATTTTTAATATGTCAGGCAGTGTTAACTGATGTTTTTTAAAGGTTGTCTGACACAGCACTTCTTTCTAGGTTTTTTCCTTGGGTTGTCTTTTGGTTTAAAAAGAGTTGTTTATAATTTTGGTTAAAAAAAAAAAATTGTGGTAAAACTATGTATTTATGAGGGTTTTTTGTATACATTCCTTTGGTAACCAGGAAAATAGCTTCTATAGACACTATAATTTGTTTCTGGAAGGTATTTGCTAAAAATGAAACTGCTGTTTGGTGAAACTGCATTTATTGGAGTGCTTTTAACATTGACATTTTTACATGTGACGGAGACTTTCTGTAACAGGGCTGCAAAAGCCTGATGTGCTGGTAAAGATGCAGCGCGCGTCTGCCAGCCCCTGTGCTGCCACCTGCTCCAGAATCCCCCACTATATTTATAAGGCACCTGGCAGCACAGAGGGCTGGGTCAGCGTGTCTCGGAGCAAGGAGCCGCCCTTCAGTGGGGCTCCCTGCCTCGTAGTGCAGAATCGGAGAAAAAAAAAATTCCCCGATCATTTTTATTGCTTCCTAAATTTCAGTAAAGCCTCGGATTTGCAATCAGCTGCAGAGCTTTTCTTTTTTTTTGGGAAAGATGATAAATGCTTCCTGCTGTGCAGAAGACCCAGAGCTACTCACACATC